GTTTCTTTCTCTCTCTCTCTTTCTGTGTGTGTGTGTGTGTGTGTCCATTTCCCTCGCCTTTTCAATTTCCTTTTTAACGTTTCTCCCTAATGACATTCATTTTCTCTCCCAGTGAGACCAGCCGACTATCCTCCATTTTTGTTTTCGTCTGCCAAGTACTGAGGTCTTTAGCTGAAGACAAGGAATGTAAAGAATGCAAATAGAATTGTTTTGGATCAACCAATTTATACCGGCTGCATTGTGTCCTCAGGGCGTCATTCCATGTGGAATTCCACCCAAACAGGAAATCTGCGACACATCCAACCGGAAGTTACCAATAAACTAAAATGGCTAAATATGACCAACGACAAGTCATGGCCGACATTTGTTAAGCACAGTAGGTCGTACTTTAAAAGATAAGTAAATTATCCACCCCCATGTATTATATACGAATTTACTTGGACTAGAGTCCTTATCTTGGCTGTTGCAATCACAACGCTTCGACCATTTTACCCAGTGGCGTTCGTCAGGCGTCTGTTGTAATTGGCAGCCTTCGCAGAATTTTAAACAGAACCCTTTATTAAATCCACAGGGGTGATTGTTAAACTGACCTCATTTTGCCGTTCTACATCCATCTCATATGGCAAGGTGAATAAAAACTATGGGGTAAACTGTTATTTGGGAATTTAATTCAATCTCTAGGTCAAAATTTCTAACATATCTATCTATATCTATCTATCTATCTATCTATATATATATATATATATATATATATAGACAATATTAGTGGTCAGTATATATATATATATATATATATATATATATATATATTCCCAAGAGGATAGAATCCAGGTATGTCCAGGATAGAGTAAGAATATAAAAGGCTCAAACACTAATATTCCATGGTTATAATTTATTACATTGCAATCGTAGACCAACAAATTCAAAAAGCTTTTTGAATTTGTGGGTCTGATGAATTGGATCGTGATTACGATTCCAATGTCATAAATTATAGCCATGGAATATTAATGCTTGAGAATTTTATATATATATATAAGTAATTCATGGAGTCTAGAAGAAACCTCAACAGAATGCAGAAAGAACTGCACGGCCATTTTGTCCTATATTTGGGACTCATCAGCAGTGCGTATCCACTACCGAGAATTGAAACCCGAACAGTTACGATATGAGGTAAACGTCATACCAACTGCACTAACGGGCCTCGATGACGAAGAGGCAACGAATTAGACTCGATATAGCGCTGTTCGATCACTCATTCGAGTTTCTCTTTTGCCCATAGGACTGTGCCCCCGACCACGAGCCACGACCCAGTCCAGAGCATTAGAAGCTGGTTCAAGCAAGGATATAAAAGTGATAGAAATTAGAAGGATATTCACTTTCCCTCCATGTAACCCCCTGCTGTGTCTTAGTGGCATTATCGCCTTACTTGGAGTGAAATGACTTTTCTTATTTCTTACTTTTTTTTAAAAGGAATGAAAAAACTTTTTCAGCTTTTTTTTTTCTTTCGGCTGGAAATCCTTAGAGCAAATGCTTTCCTCTAGTTCACACGCACTTACCTAAAGCTCTTCTGTGAATTGAGCCCATTCCGTCATTGTCGATTTTATTCAAAGAATAAGGACGTCAAAATGCGCCTTCCTCTCTAACGGGCGCTGAGAGCTCGGGGTAAAATCTTCGACTGATGACAAATCAATCGGGTTTCGGTCCCGGCTTTAAGCAATCGGATGTTGGACCACACTGATGAGCTGTCATACAGTCTCTCTGTGAATGACATATATACATTTATATATATATATATATATATATATATATATATATATATATATATATATATATATATATGTGTGTGTGTGTGTGTGTGTAAAACAGAAGAGAGAAGTTGCAAACCTTTTTGTTGATAATGTGGATTTTTAAATATATATTATACTTTATTTTTTTTAAAAATCCCCATTATAACCAAAACCATTTGTGGATCTACTCTTCTCTTTAAAATATACACTTTTCTCTCATTGGAACATTTTAAACTCCCATATATATATATATATATATATATATATATATATATATATATATATATATATAGTGAATATAAGTCAACACTTAGAGGCGACAATCTGTTTCATGCTAGAGGATTGAGGATTGCATCTAGCATGAAACAGATTGTCGCCACTAAGTGTTGACTTCTATGTTCACTTTTATATTTACACACGCTCTATCTCTGGTATTGAGCACTTTATCCCATAATTAAGACTATATATATATATACATATATATATATATATATATATATATATATATATATATATATATATGAGTTATGAAGAACTTGGTAAACCGAATGGGTAATTCCAAGGAGGATGGAACCCTGACAGAGTTAATATTTAATGAAAAACAGATCATTTAAGGTACCATTACAATATTTCACCAAAATCCTTTTAAAGACTCCGGATCATCAGGTAACAATTCCATCAACGAATGAAAGGAAAAAAAAAAAAATATATATTCGATTTTTTTTTTTTCCTTTCATTTTGTTGTTGGATACGGAGTTCTTTAAAAAAGGATTTTGGTGAAATAAATTTTTGTAATGGTACCTTTAAAGTGATCTGTTTTTCATTATATATATATATATATATATATATATATATATATATATGAGATGCAAAGAAAAAAAATGTCCGTACGTCTACAACAATTTAGAACTGGAAAACTTTGTGTCGTTTTGCCTTCATGACCGTCCGGCATCGTTTCGTCATATATCAAATGGCAGATTACCGACCCGAGCGACGACATGACACGCGAGGTTTGCTTCGTTGACATTCAGAATGTTCAGCTTTCGTTGCCATTTGAACCTGCCCCCCTTACCCAAATCCTTACAACCTAAATTCTAATCTATTTTTGCTTTTATTGTTATTTTTTTAACTTTCGTTTCTCCACGCGTGACATGCTCTGTCCATCCAATTCTCCCTGACCCCGCCAACATCAATTCCGTGTTTCCTGCTATGAACAACTTCATTTCCCTCGACGTATTCGTTTTATCTGTCTCCAAACAACCACAGTTTTTTTTTCTCTCTATTTGCTTTATGATATGACTCCACCATGGAGTAAATACTAACAATTTATGTAGATACAATTACTAACATTCTAAAGTTCGATTCTCATAGAGGGGTTGTTGTAGCATACCCCGGACAATAATACGTATGTCCCCATTCACATAAATACAGTAGTAAATACTGTATGTTGGTCTGCAGTTGGAGATTCGTCTTCAGCTGTGCTGGTCAAACTCTCCGCCTCCGGGCAGGGAGGATCCCCAGACGAGGCTATATCGAAGGGCGGAGTCTCGTCTCGGGAAACAGCTACCCGGCCCCATTTTATACGGGGTCTACAGGAATTTTCGGCCGAGCCTTGGCGCTCGGATAGCCCACGTTGGTAGATATCCTGCAACTGGAGATTGTCTCCAGCTGTGCTGGTCCATCTCTCTGCCTCCGAGCAGAGAGGATCCCAGGACGAGTCGAAGAGCAAAGTCTCGTCTCGGGAAACAGCTACCCGACCCCGTTTTATACGCAGTCTACAGGAATTTTCGGCCTAGCCTAGGCGCTCAGATAGCCCACATTAAATTCGGCCTTGTGCCACATCTGACCGTGTGGAATGGTTGGTAGATATCCTGCAACTGGAGATTGTCTCCAGCTGTGCTAGTCCATCTCTCTGCTTCCGAGCAGAGAGGATCCCCAGACGAGTCGAAGAGCAAAGTCTCGTCTCGGGAAACAGCTACCCGACCCCGTTTTATACGCGGTCTACGGGGAATTTTTGGCCGAGCTTATGGGCTAAGATACCCCATATTAAATTCGGCCTTGCGCCAAATCTTACTGCGTAGAGCGATTGGTAGATATCCTGCAGTTGGGGATTAATTGTGGAATTCATTTGACTCACTTTTCGCAGTTGACTACTTCTTCTACGCGCCGCTGGCGAATCTTATATGTGTTGTTCTTGTCCTAAGTATTATCGTTCATTACCAACCTTCTGGTGATTATTCTATTCAGTATCATCACTAGGTTACAACAGGGGTTTCATATTTTACATTCTGTTCATAATTTGCTTAATGACTGTTGGCCGAATGGTTAGAATGTAAATTTTCTGACCATGAGACCTGGATTGAAATCTTACCAAGTTTGAGTTGTTCACTGAAGTGACCCTGAAGAGGAGTAGGTGATGCCTCCTAGCCGTAACTTTGATCCTATCCTTATGAGTAAAATTGGGTTGATGGAACTGTTTGGAAGCCGGCGATGGTTACGTAAGGACGACGTTACTAACTACCGTGATCGAATGTACACGCCCTTTTCAAGAGATCAACCATTCCAGATTATGCATTCTCTCACAGAAACTGCAACTAAGGTTGTCTTAGCATAGTTGCAGTACAAACCACAGGTGTTCTCTGTGCATGTGGAAAAAAAACTATGGAACATTATAAAGTACAGGCTCTCAAGAAAGCAGTTTAGCAACATGCTCCATAAGTTTTCTATGGGGTTGAGGTCAGGAGATTGGGGCGGCCATGTCATAACACTCACCTGCTTCTCATCAAAGTATTCCTTCATCAATTTTGATTTGTGACAGGGAGCATTATCCTGCATAAAATGAGTGGGGTCGATTTGCACCCTTTCAGCAGAAGTGAGCAAACAAGACTCTAAAATTCTCTTGTACTGCTCACTTCTGAGGGTCTTCTCAATAGGTTTTAAGAAACCAGTTCCATGAAAAGAAAAGCATCCCCAGAACATGATACTGAACGGATGCTTGACAGTACTTACCGCTAAATTCAAAGAGCTTTCAAAGCTACTTCTTCGGATATTAGATCGCTTATCCTTTAAATTTAACTCAACTTTCGTTTCATCGGAGAAGAGAACATTTAGTAAAAAAATAATCAGGTGAGTCACTTTTATCGAACAGCACTGTATGAAGCAATCAGAGGTGTCATATTAAAGGCGCTGTATTTTTTGAATTTTCAAACAACAATGTTCATCTCCTACGAAAATCTGAAGGCTCTCTCTCTCTCTCTCCCCCTCTCTCTCCCCCTCTCTCTCTCCCTCCCTCTCTCTCTCCCTCTCTCTATCACTCCCTCCATCTCTCTCTATCTCTCTCTATCTATCCCCCCTCTCTCTCTCTCCCTCCCTCTATCACTCCCTCCATCTCTCTCTATCTCTCTCTATCTATCCCCCCTCTCTCTCTCTCCCTTCCTCTCTCTCTCCCTACCTCTATCCTCCCTCCATCTCTCTATCTCTCTCTATATCTCTCCCCTCCCCACCTCTCTCCCCTCCCCTCTCCCCCCTCTCCCCCCCTCTCCCCCTCACCCCCTCTCCCCCTTATCTCTCTCTATCTCACTCTCTCTCCAGAAAATGATCCACAATATGTTCCCTTCTAAAAACAAATATTTAAAAATTGGGGAAAATATTTATTAACCAATAAACTGATGAGTTTAATAAAATCGTACATTTAGTCTTTTCGGAGCTGATGTCTCGGTTATAAAAGCACTCCTATTATCAGTTTTTCAGTTATTCCGTAAATCTTTGATCTGGGTTGTTCATTCATTGTTATACGAGCTGAAATTTTCAAACCTTAAGTAATTACTCACATTTTCGCATATTTATTCGAGTCTATTATATTACAAAAAAAGCTTAGTGAAGTTGAGTTAAGAAGCAAAAAAAAAACGTACATCAATACAGATTTTAGCAGTAGTATTAATGCAGCTATCGTTCATTGAATGCTGATATGCTGCTACTAGACAATTACACAGATATATCAAACAACGTAAATATGTGACAGATACATGTA